CATGAAATGTAGTTTTGTTTTCGATGTGTTCTTGCCAGAGGACACTAATGTCGTCTCTTCTTCATGCTATCTGCCTCGTAATGTTATCTCGTTGCATAATTGCTTTAGAACAGATACCGTGCTGAAGGTGAGGCTACTGCAAATTGCAGCCTGGAACGTATGTTCATAATGATGGCTACAACAATACTTCGGTGAGTACCAAAATTTTATCCAGACTTCCTCTATTTCGAAGGTCGCGCTGTTCCAACTACTAAAGTTCTCTAATGACTTGGGGTCAGGGCCCATAGAACGGACAGCCCGATACTCATTAAGTAATGCATGTGTTAACAGTAAGCTGTTTTGTCATATAATATCAAGAATGGAGTTTAATTAAGCCACGCTCTTTTACCGATAGCACAAGCCGTGGATATCTCACAACATTCGTTAGACAGAGCGTGCGATAGAGGGACAGATCAGACAGCAACTGGATTCGGCTGTACGTGGCGGTTGTAATCGCTTATGCTACGGAAGCTCGCATCCATTTATTGGTCCAGTTTGAAGGAGATGTCGGCGCAGACAACTAGTGAGAAGTTGCGTTGAAGAGCAAGTTCCTGTATACAATGAGAGGTTTTGAAGAGATTAGTTCCTACCGAGACCTGAACGCAAGCGATGAGTGATTTACATCGCGCACATTCTCTGCTGATATGGGAAGAGTAATCCAGTTAGTGTACAAAATTTCAGTGAAGACATTTTATATACCCCACTGTTCAAGCGGATGTTGTAGCAATGGTCTTTCGCAATCTCGATCATTTGCTCGTCGGAGATGACGGTGACGTACGATCATAACTTTACCGTGAAGCACTGAAAGAAGAAAAGCATTGTATCGATCGTGTTCGAGGAAGGAGACACTCTACGCGCTACATTGGTTCGTCGAAAATTCGGATCTGTAATTAGCCATTGTGAAAATACAGGGTGGATAGGCCTTTTCTGCCGTCATGGAATGGAAATCCAGACAAGCTCATGGCCCCTAAAACTCATGTGGTTATCATCCTATGGAATCGGCTTCGACGACTACCAAGATTCGTTTAATATCCAGCTTTGATACGAACATAAGCCTTGTACTATGAATTGCAATGAAAAAAAAAACGGTTAGTGCAGATACGCCCCGCTCTCAAAGAAGACGCTGACACTGCAGTTACCACGAACTGCGATCATATCGCTGTTCTTCAACAATACTCGACCAATGTACTCCCTGACACTAAGAAAATGGATGAGAAGAGCAAAAGGAACAAGAAGCAAAGCAATAATGTTACAGGATGATGTATGAAACATGATAGGCTCAAAGCAACTAGTTTCGTTTTGTTAAATCGATCAGATCTATTAACAGGTATTACTTATTCTTAGACTCAAAGAAGATGAGACTTGGACGGCCAGCCTCACTAAGCTTTGTCTTGGCTCTGTTGTACAAGCTTCTTTCCCATTTTAGTACTTGAGGAAGAAGATCTCTCCTCCGCGGCTTGTCTTTTCCTAGGTGTGGCAAGGTATACTGATTTCCAACCTGTTGTTGAAGCACGCATATCATACAGCTCTGCAAAGCCAGAAATGTTCTATCCAGCGTGTCGGCACTCATATCTTGGACACGCGGTTTTGGAAGCTTTCAATTATATTGAAGAGACCAAGGTCCAGCACATTAACCCTTTCGCGATAAAAGGAAGCAGAATGCCCCCTTTTCCTGCTTTTCAACTAAGTACGACGATCTATCCATGTTAAAGGAGGCAGAATGACTCCTTTTATAATCAAGTACGTTTACAACAGGTCATTATGGGCATAGAAAAACCAAGCAAATCACACTTGGGAGATTAGAAGGTGGACAATCACTCGCCTTAAAGGAGGCAAAATGCCTCCTTTTGATACCGACTATCCTAGATTTGTATACTATAGTTCACTAAAGTGGCTC